GTATCAGAATACATCAAGTTAGATTTGAATATGAATTTTTTGTCTAAATTCTCAGAAAGTTTACGAATTTGAATCTGACTTGAAAAAAGAAGTGGTCTCACACGTACCTAATAGGAGTCGCTTCTAACTTTTTATGTCCAACTAAAACGGTTTTTTTTCGTCTATGAATTCTTATAAATTGTCTCGAGTTTTGTTGTATTTGTTGTTGTATGATATCATCAACAATTGAACTTAATGTATAACATTCATCAACATCAATATATTGATGAATATCATGCATTATATTTATTTGTTCACCACGTTGTTGTGATTGTTGATGTGATGAAACGATGCAAGGTAAATATATATGAGATGATAAAAATTGGTTATTGTTCGATAAATAGGTTTGTTGGCAATTTATTAAGGATAACAAATTTGTTGAATAATGATTTTTTGTATAATTTCGTCGGTTTTTAGGTGATATTGAACATGGTGAAGATGATGATCTAGATGAAACGACTAATTCAGTAGATGAGAAGGATAATTGTGATGATAGAGATGAATTTGAGGTAGAAGGAGATGATGGCTGTTCAGATGATTGTTCCGTGAAACATGTATCGATTGATGTTTGCTCGTTGTCCATTTCATTTAGAGAAAGCTTTTTGAGATTTTCATTGTCTATTTCTGTGGTATAATACCGAGTTTGCTCTAAACGAAAATAGAAAAATATTATATGAAAGATTTATAGAACATCGAACCTTACCTTCTATTGTCAAAATCACGGGTTTTTCCTGTTCTTCTGAAATTTTACAAACATTATTATCAAGATCAATTTCTTGAGTATTTTGATGAATAAATTGATTATTAGACTCATCACTAGTCAAATTATCCGTATTATCATTGCCAATTGATTCGGTTGTAGTTGTAGTAACATCATTCATAGTTATATGATTATCATGTAACATAGGGATTGTATCGTCACATTTATTTTCATCTTGCATATCTTTTTGGTCATTCTCAACAAGTATCTCATCTTCTTCTTTTAGTTCAATATCCTTGAAAATTTGATTTTTTTCTTCTTTTTCATTGAATATTGTTGCATTAATAATCTTATCATCATGTCTAATCAAACATTCTATTTCATTTTCAACATTGCCATTGTTATTATTAAATTTACTGATTAACTGTCCCATATTGATTTTAGAAGACGACTCGGACGTATAACTATCGTTTAAACTATTTATGTTATTTAACAACGTGGTAGCGGTTGATTCAATCAAATGCGATGATGAGCATAAAATGTCATCATTATTTTGAACTATATCGTTAGATGGATGATAATGATAGTTATTATTGAATACCGATGACGTTAAATATTTATCATCTTGCGTGATAAACGTTACTGATGTTAGATTTATTGTTGGATTAAATACGTAATAGTTGTCATTGAATGTAGTTGTTATATCGATTTTTTTAAACCTTTTTGAACATGGTAGAGGTGGCGAAGGTGAATGTCGAATTTTTGCAATATTTCGATTTTCAATCGTTTGATCTCGATTAAATGATGATGATAATAATGATGATGATGATGATGGTGATAATGATGGTGATTGTATAATTGGTGATGCCTCTTCTACTAAATCATCATCACTCAAAATATCCGTTTCTTTTACATTTGAATAATTAAAATAATTCTCTGTATAATAGTCGACCTCATCTGGCAGAATATATGTCATTGGCGATGTTGGTGGTAATGAAGATGGCGATGGACATGGCAATACTATATACGTTTGATTTTGTTCCATCCTATTAGGTTTCTTTTGAACAGTATGCTCATTATAATTCTCTATGAGTTGTTTCTTTCGTGATAATAAACTATTTGGATTTGTTTTGTACAATTTACTTGTTCGAATAAAACATGGTGATAATTTTCTTAGATCCTTGTGATGATCTTGACTTTTATATGATTTTTTTCCAATACAATTACCCATAAGTTTGCTGACTAGATAAAAAATTCAACTAAAAAACAAAATGATAGTCAATCAATGAGTGTATGTGTGTGATATTATTGACGAAAAAAAGAAACCATAATTCAAGTATAAATGCGTCTATCTACTAATTCACATAAATTTAGTTTGTAATCTTTACCATATATTTGTGAATAAAACGAGGAAAAAATCACGTGAAAGAAAGATCTAAGGGTGATGACCGAATGTGTGAAAATCGTATATACCTGTATGATTAAAGTTTTTTTTTTTTTTTTTTTATTGAATTCACGTTTGTATGGCATCCATTCTTTTTTCAAAATGATGATTACTCGTTCGTGTGTTTTATTTGTAATTGAGCTCTATTCACGCGCATATATATTCGTAATTATGTCCTTCATACACTACTAGTTTGTTCAAAATTTCTGTTATTGTTATTATTATTATTATTATTCTTACTACGAATTATAACTACTGTATTTTTTTTTCTTCTTTTAAATACATATACTATATTCTTTGTTCTGAATGAACTTCTTCTATTTTTCTTTTGATATACTAGTATATGATTATTTTATAACCTTCGGCAAAAAACGAAAATTTTCCTCCGTATGATTGTTATCCTCGTAAAATGTTCAACAATTTTCGTTCAAAAGTTTTTCTTGATAATGATAAAAGAAGATAGATTTATAAATGAACTTCGCGTGTTCAATAATAAATATTAGTATTTGAAAGGTATACTAGTGATGGGAAATTTATAACTATTAGTTTAATAAATGTATACAAGGTCATTTTTATATATAGCCATTCTTTTATCTACAAAATAGAATGTATATGCTTGAACAAGCTTTCATTTAGTATGACTCAGACCATTATATATTCTCAAAAGTAGAAAGTAAACGATGCCTTGCAAACATTGATACTCATAATTTACTATCTTTTAGTGAAAGAAGAGATTTATTGTTAACATTATGTACAATAAATTATCAGTATGTTAGGGGGGGGGTAAGAAAGAACTCTATGGTTGATCGCGAACATAGTACAAATTTCGGGTTGATTATATAAAAAAGAGAAGCTTAACATAACGCTGAGCATAATAAAGTTTTTATTATCAAAAATAAATTCATCGGTGGTAAGGAAACGTCGGTTAGACAGGATGCAATGATGTTCGTCAAATAGTTGCCCCTCATTTTCAACGGGTATTTTCAGTTAGATCGTTAATATAATAAAAGCTAGTATGGGATATCGGTGAGATCATTTTATGTAATCGCAATACTTTTCAGACTTATCAAAACAAAAAAAAAAAAGAAAGTTTAATTAACAATACTCACAGTAGGTTTTTTACTTTACATTTAGACCATTGCTTATAATGTGATGTCTAATAATTTCATTTTATGTACTATGAATAAACGTCAAGTAGTTTCAAAATATAACAAAAAAAAACGAAAATGTTACTAAAATTTAAATCGAAGCCCGAGTAATAATAAAACATTTGTCAATAAGAATTGACTGTTTTCTTAACAATAAATATAGTGGTTGAAAAAAGTCAAGAGGCAAAAAAAAAGAAGTTCTCTTGATTGTATAGCCTATGGGTATATACACATACAAAATGACAAATGTTTATAGACTCATGTTATTTAACTAACCTATTCAATTATTTTAACATTAACAGCAATTAATAGTGTAGGTCTAGTCAATTGCAGTGAATAGGCAAAGAGAAACTTATAATAAAAGTCAAGAAGAAATAGTTCTACTGACTACATCTATTATCATGATCATTATCATATTGTTAAAGATATCTAGCATCTATCAAACGTTACTTTACCTTTTTGTTTCTTGTTTATGTTACTAGTAACATTGAAAGAATATAAATTGTACGATGAAAGAAAGAAAAAGAGAGCTCTTTTTCTTTTCTTTTTTTATATTTTGTACATATTATTATTATTACCAATGTTCATAAGAAATACCATTCTCTAAAATGACAATGTCTACTTGAAACGATGTCACCATGTTATTCCATCATCATTTATGATTATGATTTGAATAATAAAACTTTTTCTCATCGATGAATGTTTACAAACGAACGACGCGCATAAACCTGTATAAATAAATTCTTTTTGTTTTTATGCAAAAAAAATCATCTTACATAATATAACTCGAGAGATAAAGGCAATCAAACGCTGCAACAGAAGAGAAAAAAAAGAAGAAGAAGGAATCAGTTACAATTTCTCAATATGGTGCTCCCTATTGTCGTTGTCCCATTTTTAAATTTAAATAAATCATTAAATGAATGATGTATGCCTAGTCTTTTTTGTTTGAAGTATAATGTAAATATAAAAGGGGACGACATATACATTATTTCTTATTTTTACCTAGCTGTTACAAAACTATCAAAAAGAGGCTATCATAATACATGCTAACCTATTTTATATACAGGATTTTCGTAGACTCTAGAGTTCTAATGAAAATTTTCTTACACACATGTTGTTCTGTGTAATAAGTATTTGAAATAAATAGTAGCATCTGGAATGGGAATACTCCATTGTTAGCTCTATACGACCAACTTGTGTCTCTATACTACAGTGAAAAAGTACTTTCTGACTCTAAAAATATTAGAGTACACTCATGTAACTGTAATCAGTTCATTATATTATTATAATGACTTTAACTTTTACATCCGTATGAAACAAATGCCTTTTTTCTTTTTTATTACACATAGACATTATTTATTTGCCCATAATCAGATTGTTATATGTATAAAACATACGATATATAGTTAAATCGTTATTTTTATCTTAAAATAAAGACTTATATCCTACCTTGATTTTTTCTAAAGCAATGTATGAAAGAATACGTCATTTGTATATACAGTTGTAATATATTCTCTCTACTGTTGTACCCATTGTTGATCATTTTCTCGAAGACAGATCAATAGTTTATTTGTCTAATTTGTACTCAGTATGTATATACACGCACACGAAGCTCTTTGACTATATTTATATATATATATGTGTGTGTGTGTGCTTAAACATAAACATAGGTATTTGTTATCAAGCATCGGAAGGAATATGAGCGAATGTCCACTATTTAGCAATTGGATGGCAGTATAACAGAATGTATGTCCTTAGTATACATTACATCGTATGAGAAATAATCATTTATACTATAAGTAGATTAACGTCTACTAGTACTAGTACTACGTCTTTTAGATAAAAAGCAAATAATAATCATCTGATACGAGTCAGATTAATATATTATACGTACCTGCAGAGGCAGCAGAACCACTAGGCTGGGTAAGGCTTAAGCCTTATCCGGATTTGGCTCTGTTAGGCTGAGCCTTATCCTGTTCTGATGTAGAATTTTAAATTTAGCACTATGCCATTTGGATAAAACTTTGCTACATTGGCAGAAACGTCTTATTTATCTGAAGAAAAGACGAAAAAAGCTTTTGCTACGCGAATTAAACTCTGCTGTTTTTCAGTGATCTTAAACTCAGAGACTAACATGAGATACGTGCGGTGAGGAAAGACGACTGGATCGGAATAAAATGCGAACTTTTAGCATCAGGTACGCTAAGAAAGCTCGAAATGTAAATTGTCTTTTGTTCAAAATAGCGAAGTAGTCCTTTAATTATATAGATATGCCACGTTTTCCAAACAAATATGTTTTGCTGTAATAGTCTAGCGCAAACTTCTTCCCTCTTTTGGCCTTTTTGGTGCGAATGTCACTTATTCGGAGTCTGAGTAGAAACAGCTTGGATTCTTGAAGCTCGAGCGGACATTTTATTCCGGCGAATTGAGCTCAAAACAATATTTCCGTGTGTTTGCACTTGCTACGAAAACTTTTACGGAAAAGTGTACCTTTTCGAAAAACTTTCTAAATTCGCTGCTGCCTTACCGTGAGCCTTATCCCGTTTGGGAACGTTCCGCCGCCTCTGCGTACCTGTTCAACCATACCAAATCTTCTGCTATTTTTTTGTTAGACGCCAAATCAACATCGTTTCCATCTACTACTACTACTTTTGTGCGAATCTTCTTGCCCACTGTTTATTATAAATCTAAGATGAATATATAATCTTTAAATAGTTAAATAAAATCGATATTCATTCTGTAAGCTGCAGATTTTTTTGAAGAATACTCTTTCCAGATTGCAGTACTTGGTTTTACTGCTACAAAGCACTTTGTGAAAGTATTTACCAAGTGCAAAATCAGTTACTTGTAAGTAAATTAACTTCTTGAAAAAGACAAGTATTGGCTTTATTACGTATACGAAGTGCTTGTCTCAAGTGCTTGAACACTAGTACATTTACTGAGGAAGGTCAGTGAGACATAAAACGATCCTTCAACTTTGTGTTATTTTATTATGTCGACAGACATTAACCATTTATGCTGGGAATTTTCTTTTTTCTTTTTTCTTTCCGACCTGTTTTTGCGAAAGAGAACGCCATGATCCAAGAAACTAATCATCGTAGAAAAGTTTTGAAAAAGAGACAGTGTTCTACGGAAACCGAAAATTGACCATTACACGTTCTTTACTCAATTAAAGAGCCATACTCAGCGGTATAAGCTCCATAAGTGGACAAAAAAATGGCTGTTGGACTTACGAGGGAAGTACCCCAACTGATAAATCGCTTTTTCAACGAAACCGAGTGGACTATAGGTAGTCGACGATGCTGATTCCAAATATCACCATGAATGCTGCTGCTAGGCCTTCAAAGACTGGTCTTCTGGAAAACCAGTTTTCGAGAAACTCTAAACAACAACCAAAAGCTTTCTTAATGAGGCGTAATTGTAGTCCATAAATTTCTGATTAAAAGGAGGCATCTCCCAGCTCTATACGACCTTTCTTTGCAAAGTTATAGAGTTTACAAGAAAAACCCTAAATGTTCATTGTCACCTCAGAGCTACAGAAAAGAAAAACGAAAAATGAATTTAGGGCTTTTCTTGTAAA